GAATCTGAAATCGAAAACTCTCTTGGATCAATTTTCACATTACAGGATTGATTAATCGATATAATTCTATTATGACACTCGAAACTTCAAAAGACACGAAATCAACTTTTAAGCAACTTTAGCCTTTTAAATTCAAAAACATACATAAGTCACAACTTTTTACTCAAATTTTTTAAATCAATTCCAAAACTTATTCGGAAATGGCTCAGGGTTATCATCAAAATGAAGTTGTAGTTTTGTGAAAATTTCCAAAAATGATCGAAATTGTTGTTACAATACCAAACTTTATGGAAGATTTTTTACCCCTGTACTATTTAATCGAATATTTTAACGATATATGTGCCCATATGATCATGTTACTATTGATAATGATGCAATATTTATTATGTCCACGAGGACACATATATATCTTTAAAATACTCTATTAAATAGTGCAAAAATAAAATATCATATTCGATATTCAATATTATTACAATAATTTTAATTAAAATTCAAATATATTTTCAATCACTTTCTTATTTTAAACTATTAAAAAAAACCCTCCAACAATTCACTTATTTTTATCAAATTAATTATTTTTATATTTGTATCTTTCTTCTTCACTTCAAAAATATCGAAATATGTCAGCATAAGTTCAGATGTAGCACATGGATTACTTATTAAAGTAGTTGCATCTAGTAACGACACGTACAATTAAGCTTAAAAAATAGTATTGCCTATGTTATTATTTAATTTCACTATTTAGATTTTAGGTTTTTTAAGAAATTAAGTAAATTTGTTATGGTATTTTAACTTAATGTTCTTTAAAATTTAATTTTCAATTAATAATTTATTTTAATTAATTAATTTGATCAATAACTATATATTATTTATTCAGTTTTTCTATGTTAATTAAATATATATTTTATGAATAATATAATTTATGTATTAATTTTATGAAACAATTATAAATCAATTTTTAATAAACACGACACGTAAATAAAGAAGAATTGGAGTAATATTTTTACAATTTATTAGCCTCATTCTCTCACAGCTTGAAAATCCCCATTTTATTAAACCTTTGCTCTGCCCAACTCTGCCTCTCCTAACTTCAAGAATTACTTTGGAAGTATCAAATTTAAATTGAGTTAATGGGGTTGGTGTTTCTATTGTTTTTTTAAATTCTTTTTTGGGGTTGTTTTGCATCGATACGAAGTTTAATTGAGTTTAGATAATTTTTGCTAAGGTGGGACAGATCTTATGTATATATCTTTAATTAATTAAGATAAACTGTTTTAACATTATAAAAAATATAAAAAAAATTGAGTTTATAAATAAGTAGATCTTACAAATTAATGATATATTTTAAAACGATGTATGCCTAGACAATAATTTTTATAACTATATACTTCCTCTGTCCAGAAATATTTGTCATGTTGCGCGATCAAAAGTAAATTTAACTAATTTTCAAATGTAAATTAGATCACATTAATTTTATATTTTAAACAAAAGAATTAAATATCCTAAAAGCTATAGAAAAAGTATTATAAATTACAATTTTTTTATATTAATATGATAAATAAATACATCTTTAAAATTTTAGTCAAAAACTTTATAATTTAACAATAAAAATTTTATAATTTTGACTCTTGATATTAAGTTTTTCCTTTCATAAATATATCGATTTATAAAATGTCCAAGTCTAGGTCCCATCAATAAAACATGGCAAAATTGAGCAAAAAATGGTGTGCTTAAATTAAAATGGTGCATATCCCACCTAGCCCCTCTTATGGTCATATTTGAGTGAACTGAAGAGAAGAGGAAAAACAGAGAAACAGAGTTGTATAGAAAATGGACAAAGAAACACAATTAATTGGAGAAAATCCAAGAAAGGGTGGTCTCAGGACCATGCCTTTCATCATTGGTAATTCTTTTTTTTTTGTTCTTCAAATTGCTGGTATTCATTAGGTACTAATTTTTATTAATTTTTTTTAATTTTTTTGTAGTGAATGAATCATTTGAAAGAGTAGCAAGTTATGGTTTACAAGCAAATTTGATAATTTATTTGATGACATATTATAAAATGACTGCTGCTGCTGGTACTAGCATTCTTGGAATATGGACTGCACTCTCAAATGGACTAGCCATTGTTGGAGCCATTATTTCTGATTCTTACTGTGGTCGCTTTAAGGCTGTTGCATTTGGATCCATTTCAACCCTTATTGTGAGTTGCTATTCTCTGGACTCAAATTGCTTCGTTTAGTTAATTCTAATTTGTTTGTGCAATTTGTAACAAAAAAATAGTTTTTTTCACTTAATGTTAGAGTGAGATCCATTTTGATTCATTAATATATGACATAAATGAGCCAAACTTTTAACGAATGGCTTCAGCCAGTGATTTTCTTTACTTATTGTGAGCTGTGCCATTTCACAATTTCAACAAGAGGGTTTTTTCTTTTGATAGGGAATGATTATTCTATGGCTCACATCAATGATTCCACAACTCAAGTCTTTACCCTGCCCTCAGTTCCAACATGTTTGTAATGGAACAACAGCAGTCCAGCTTGCTGTTCTGTTTTCATCTTTCGGGTTTATGTCCGTTGGAGCTGGTTTTATTAGACCTTGTTCTATAATGTTTGGTGCTGATCAATTGGAAAAAAAAGGGAAACCCGAGAACAAGAAGCTTGTTGATAGCTATTTCAACTGGTACTATGCTAGCATAGGGGTTTCAACTATTCTTGCAGTTACCACTGTCGTTTATATCCAAGAGCGTTTTGGTTGGAAAATTGGCCTTGGCATACCTGTTGTCCTCATGTTTTTGTCCGTCTCGATGTTCCTTATTGGTTCTCCTTGGTATATTAAAGTGAAAGCTAAAGAAAGCTTGCTCATAGGGTTGCTTCAAGCAGCTGTAGCAGCTTTTAAGAAAAGAAATACTCATCATGCATTGACTGATAGTGATAACTACTATCGTTCGCCACTTGAATCGGAAGTCTTGACACCGTCAAATGACTTCAGGTCAGTGCTTCCATCTTTTTATCAGTGGCATTTCTATTGTCAATATTACTCAATATCTATATGACAGTCAATTCAGTGGCATAATATTTTATTGTACGTTGTAGGTGCTTAAATAAAGCTTGCATGATTGAAGATCCTCAACGAGATTTGAATCCTGATGGATCAGCTTCAAATCCATGGAATCTCTGTAGTTTGGAACAAGTTGAATCATTGAAGGCTATTGTTAGAGTACTTCCTATGTGGTCGACTGGTTTTATGATCTATGTGACCATGAATCAATTCTCATTTTCCGTACTTCAAGCAAAGACCATGGATAGACATGTCATCCCTCAATTCGAATTACCAGCAGCATCATTCAGTGTGTTCTTGATTATTGCTTTAACAATCTGGGTAACTTTTTACGACCGTGTTTTGGTCCCTTTGCTATCTAAATATACTGGACGGCCAAGAGGGCTAAGTCCTGTTACCCGAATGGGAATTGGCTTATTAGTCTCGTGCATGTCTATGGCATTGTCTGCAATAACAGAAAGCATAAGACAAAAAAAGGCAATAGAGGAAGGGCATGAGGACGACCCACATGCTTTAGTGAACATGTCTGCTATGTGGCTCGTGCCACAGTATTTACTACTCGGAGTGGCTGAGGCAGCCCATGCAGTTGGACAGATTGAGTTCTTCTACTCTCTATTTCCCAAAAGCATGGCTAGCATCGCGTCAGCTATGTACACTATTGGAACTGCTGTGTCGAGTTTGTTTGGAAGTATTCTGGTGAGTGGTGTGGATTGGCTTACATCAACGGGAGGTAAAACGAGCTGGCTTTCTAGCAACATTAATAAGGGTCACTTGGATTACTATTTCTGGCTACTTGCTTTTTTGAGTTTGCTCAACTTTTTCTATTTTGTGATGGTCTGCCGGTTATATGAAACTGGGAATGATGGAAGCAGTAGGTTATCTCATGTGGCTGATGAGGAAGAATGCGACTATAGACTCTTATCTGAATCTTGATGATATGTTGTACTGCATCCTTGAATGATCCAACTACAACTAATTTAGGCAGTAGAGTGTTTTCATATATATTTTGAAGTATGTTGTGAATTTCCTCAGACAAAATTTTGGATATCAGATTGTCTTTTGTCGAATGTAGGCTTAAGAAAATGGTACTTGTTGGATTTTAAGCATCTTAATAGTATTTTAAAGTGCATAATTCCTAATGAGAAATGTCAAATTTATAGCTGCACGTTTGAAGCATATGTTGTGCAGCATTTGAGTTGTCATTTGATGACATTATATGCTCAATTACTTGTATTCGTAGTTGAATATGGTCATTAGTTGTTAGTAACTCAGGTAAACTATTAACTATGCATCTACTCAATTCAGTACCTCATTATCTTCCTATTTATTCTTTTCAGTTATCATTTTATTTTCAACAATAATTTGTTATATTTATGATATATTACGTCAATAGTATTAACTATTAAATTATCAAAGTAATAATTACACAAATTTCAATCACGTAATGACTTTCCAGACCCTTAAAAGACTTCATAAGAAAGATGGATGAATGTAAAGAAAGTGAAAAACTTAGGACGAACAACTACTTCCCTAGCCTCTTATATATAGTAGTAATAACGTACTAAAAAATAAAGATTTTTTTAAAAACATAAAAGAAACATTTCATTAAGGAAACAATCTTTTTTTTCTATGTCGTAATTTTTTCATATATTCCTTCGGTCGAACAATAGTTGTCCACTATACTATTTTGAAATGTTCAACAATACTTGTCCACTTTATGAAATCAATGAATACTTTTACGCTTATTTTCTAATTTATCCTTATCATTAATTATAGTTAATTTTTCAACACATGTTATTTATTATATTTAAATGGTAATATAGTAAAACTTATTTTTCTATTTATAATTTCTTAAGGGGTTTATCAAGTCGATAATGAACAACTATTGTTGGACAGAGTATCTTTTAAATATTTTGAATTGTCTATTATTGTGACTTATAGTACTTACATAGTTTACAAATACATAAATTTTCAGCCAAATTTAAACTGTTAGGCTCTTAAAAATTGAAATGTGTCAAATAAATTGAGATAGATGGATCGGAATAGTAATTCTGATAGTTTTTTGGGAATAAGTGTTGGGAGAAACAAATGCATGATAGTAAATAAGAATATTGTGATCTTTTTAAATGTAGCCATTATATGGAACAAATTATTATGGTTATTTCAGGCAAGGAGCATGGACCTGATCACCTGGGAATGTGGTTTATTGTTTCTACTCTTTCTCCCACTCATATTATAAAGCCATTGAAGTGCAAAAACAGAGAAACAAAGTGAAAAAATGGGCATAGAAACACAAGTTGAAGTGAAGCCAAGAAAGGGTGGTTTTAGAACTATGCCTTTCATCATTGGTAATTCCTTTTCTTTTGTTACTACTACTATTTTAGTTTAAGTACTAATTATTTCAATTTTTTTTTTTTGTAGTGAATGAATCATTTGAAAGGGTAGCAAGTTATGGTTTACAATTTAACATGCTAATGTATTTGATGACATATTATAATATGAGTGCTGCGACTGGTACTAGTATTCTTGCATTATGGGCTGCACTTTCAAATGGATTGGCTATTGTTGGTGCAATTATTGCGGATTATTATTGGGGTAGATTTAGAGCTGTTGCATTTGGATCCATATCCACTCTTATTGTGAGTTGTGAATTTCGTTTTTTGCTTTAGTTATGGATCCTTTAATTGTTATTGTATACAAAGTTCTAACATTTTTCTTGGACAGGGAATGATAATTCTATGGCTCACAGCAATGATTCCACAACTCAAGTCTTTACCCTGTTCTCATTTCCAACATGTTTGTAATGGACCAACAGCATTCCTATTTGCTGTTCTGTTTTCATCTCTTGTGTTTATGTCCGTCGGAGCTGGTTTTGTTAGACCTTGTTCTATAATATTTGGTGCTGATCAATTGGAAAATAAACAGAACCCCGAGAACGGGAGGATTCTTGATAGTTATTTCAATTGGTACTATGCTAGCTCAGGGATTTCAACTATTCTCGCAGTTACTATTATCGTTTATATTCAAGATCTTTATGGTTGGAAAGTTGGCTTTGGTGTCCCTGTTATCCTTATGTTTTTGTCTGTCTTAATGTTCCAAATTGGTTCTCCTCTTTATATAAAAGTGAAAGCTAAAGATACGGAAAACTTGGTCATAGGATTGTTTCAAGCACTTGTAGCAGCTTTTAGGAAAAGAAATACCCGTCTTTCATTGAGTGATTGTGATGAATACTATCGTTGGCCACTTGAATCAGAGGTCTTGACTCCATCAATGGACTTAAGGTCAGTGTCTCCATATTACTCGAACGCTATGCACTTTGTCTGAAACAATAAAATATGAGTTGAACTGTATCTATAATTTGTACATTGCAGGTGGTTAAATAGCGCTTGCATGATTGAAGATGCTGAAAGAGATTTGAATCCTGATGGATCAGCTTCAAATCCATGGAAACTCTGTAGTTTGGAACAAGTTGAATCACTCAAGGCTCTTCTTAGAGTACTTCCTATGTGGTCCACTGGTTTTGTGATCTTTGTGGACATGAATGTGTTTGCATTTTCCTTACTTCAAACAAAAACCATGGATAGACACATCTTCCCTCACTTTGAAGTACCAGCAGCATCATTCAGTGTGTTCTTGATTATTGCTTTGACAATCTGGATTGCTTTCTACGACCGTGTTTTGGTCCCTTTACTATCAAAATATACTGGACAGCCAAGAGGGCTAAGTCCTGTCACCAGAATGGGGATTGGCTTAATAGCCTCCAGTATGTCTATTGCATTATCAGCAATAACAGAAAGCATAAGACGACAAAGGGCAATAGAGGAAGGACATGAGGACGATCCAAATGCTTTAGTGAACATGTCTGCTATGTGGTTTGTGCCACAGTATGCACTACTCGGAGTGGCTGAGGCTGCCCATGCAGTTGGACAGATTGAGTTCTTGTATGCTCTATTACCGAAAAGCATGTCCAGCACTGCGTCAGCTATGTACACTGTTGGGACTGCTGTGTCGAGTTTGATTGGAAGTATTCTGGTGAGTAGTGTGGATTGGCTTTCATCAACGGGAGGTAAAACGAGCTGGCTTTCGAGCAACATTAACCAGGGTCACATTGATTACTTTTTCTGGCTACTTACATTTTTGAACTTGCTAAACTTGTTATATTTTTTGCTCATCTGCTGGTTTTATGAAGTTGGCAATAATGGGAGCAGTAATTCAGCTCATGTTGCTGAAGATAAAGAATGTGATTATAGACTCTTATCTGAATCATGATGATATGTTGGACTGCATTTTGAATGATACAACAACTACTAAATAAGTTAGACAATAAAATATTTTTATATGTTTAGACCTCTTCACATATTTTTTTGAAAGTATGTTGTGACTTTACTCAGACAAAAATGTTAAACATGCATTTTTGATACCTTAAAAAAAAAATAAGGTTGTCGGAGGCTACTCTGTCCTAAACTCTTACTCGTGCATTTATAAAAAATATTATATTTTTTTGACAACGCACCTCAAGATTTCACTAATTCATGAGTTTTTTATTTTTTACATTAAAATTTGTAGCAAACTAACTGGGACGTAGACAAAATTTGTTCTTTTCATCTCTTATCTCATAAATCAGATTCATAATTTGAAGCCCCAAATTTGCAAAGATGAAGCTTCATTTTTATGAGTGCTTCAATTCGAGTTTATCAAGTCTTGCACTCCAACAAGCCTTAGATTAGGACCAGGGCATTTATAGATATCAAAATTTCGTAGAATTTAACAAGATGAGTTCAATTTCAGATAAATTTTTAGATACTACTTTATACTAAATTTTAGTTAATGCATATATAAAGAATAATATGTGAAATATTTATAATGATCTTGATGTGACCGACCCTATAAACGCAAGAATAGTATTGTAACCACATTATATTTTTTTTTTTTACATTTTATGAGTGATTATAATTTATTTCTTAATCAAATTAAAATTTTATTGCAAACAACTATTTAAAATTTAAAATTGTGTTTAGCTATAAATACAAATTAGAGTTAGTTTTAATTTTTTTTGAATGATTTAATTGCAAAATGTAAAATTACTACTTTAACGCACATATCAAAATCTTAAATACGAAAATCTTACGTAATCTCTATTTTGCGGGCTTGTGGAGAGTGGTGGGGGTGGGGTGGGGCTCCTTGTCTTGTCAATTTTATCACCAATAAGTGTGGTTGGTTGAAAATGGTGCTTTCACTGTCAAATCAAAGATGACACGAGGTAAATGAGCTGTTTCCTCGTGGATGGCTACAATTTTGTTAGCATAATTAATCTCTAAATTACTTAATTGGTAAGAGATATAAATATAAGTTTAGCTCATTGAGAGAGTATGATTCTAAATAAAAAATATAAAGATCGAAGATTAGGATAAAAGAATAGTAGTAGATAGTAGTTCATTTTACATCTAGTCATATAATATAGATATCACGTATAAATTTTTTTTCCTCCGTTGTGTATTAATATTTGTCGTCACAGGTATTTTGTACATTGTTATTTTATTTTCTAAATCCTTTTTCTTTTTAACCTTTTTGCTTTTTTTAATGAATGATCTATCGAAATCAACTTCTTTATCTCTCGCAAAAGTAAAGATAATATTTAGATACATTCTATTCTTTCTATATATGCCTTTGTGGAATAAATTGTTGTTGTTAACCACTTAATTGATCTAAATATATCTATAAGAAAGTTTTAATATCATTAAATAGTTTATTCAAAGGATAATTCACTGATTTCATTCCTTCACCAATGTTTTCATCACTAGCCATTTTTCAACTATCGTTATTGTCATTCACTATTAACAATCATTTATAATTACTATCGTAACAACTTGGGAACAAAATGATAAATATCATCACCAAAAATCATAATTTTTTCCCCACTATCGCTATCAATCACTGTAAATTTATAGTCATAAATTATGAGTGGTTCCTTCTTCTTTAATTTATTTATCCTTAGTATATTTTTTTTGGGAGAACTCTAACCTTACGTTTCAATGATGACAAATAGAAGACCACACCACTGAAAAACTTTTTAAAATATTTTATGTATTCTTTGTTTAAGACTCGAAATTTAAAAGTCATTTTTTACTTTATTAAAATCAGTATAAACTAAAAAGATCAGACAAAAGAAAAAGAAAATTGGAGCATTCATTTTCCTGAATACGATAAGTATTTTGGATGTAATGAATATAAGACGAGGCATGTGGACCAGGATAATTTAATGTTTTATTACATAATATATTAATGTATTATTTAATTTAAACTTTCACTATCATTTATATTTCCAATTTTTTAACGTGTAAAATTTAGACACATCAATTTTATATAAAATGGAGAAAAGAGATAATGAAAAAGAGCCATATCTTGTGACTTTACTTGGAGAAAAATTGTGGACATGCATTTACTTCGTATCGGTCAACATTTTAAAGATTAGAGTTAGTGTTGTCTATGGATACAAATTAAAGTTACTTTTTATTTTTGCTAAAATTGATACGGAGCGAAAAAAAAAAGTGAAACTAACTTTCTAATATTTTTCTAATTCAAGTGACAAAAATGACTTTTTAACCATTTAATCTAAAAAAAATTAAAAATAAATGTATTTTAATGTTAGTCTATTAAGTTAAGTGACATATTTATCGCGGAACGTAAGGAAAGTCATAAGATACATAGAAAAATTATATGAAGATTGTAGAGGTGTTAACATACAAAAACACTTCATTATCTAACTTTATTAACTGTCAAGAATGCAGTACAACATATATCATCAAGATTCATGTAAGAGTCTATAATCACACTCTTCCTCATCAGCCACATGAGGTAATGCATCATTCCCAGTTTCATAAAACCGGCAGATGAAATGAAAATATAACAAGTTGAGCAAACTCAAAAAAGTAAGCAGCCAGAAATGGTAATCCAGGTGACCTTTATTAATGTTGCTAGAAAGCCAGCTTGTTTTACCTCCTGTTGATGTAAGCCAATCCTCACTACTCACAAGAAAACTTCCAATCAAACTCGACGCTGCATTCCCAACAGTGTCTATAGCAGACGCGATGCTTGCCATGCTTTTCGGTAATAGAGTGTAGAAGAACTCAATTTGTCCAACTCCATGTGTAGCCGTAGCTATACCGAGTAGTGCATACTGTGGCACGAACCACATAGCAGACATGTTTACTAAAGCATTTGGATCGTCCTCATGCCCTTCTGTGATTGCCCTTTTTCGTCTTATGCTTTCTGTTATTGCTGACAATGCCATTGACATACAAGAGACTGTTAACCCAATTCTCATTCGGGTAACAGGACTTAGCCCTCTTGGACTTCCAGTATATTTAGATAGCAAAGGGACCAAAAGACGATCATAGAAAATAATCCACATTGTTAAAGCGATAATCAGGAACACACTGAATGATGCTGCTGGTACTTCAAAGTGCGGCAAGATATGTCTATCCATTGTCTTTGTTTGAAGTACAGCAAATGCGAATACATTCATGTCCACAAACACCATTAAACCGGTTGACCACATAGGAATTATTCTAATAAGAGCCTTGAGTGATTCAACTCGTTCCACACTACACAGATTCCATGGATTTGAAGCTGATCCATCAGGATTCAAATCTCTTTCACGATCTTCAATCATACAAGCTCTATTTAAACACCTACATATATTCATCATACAATAAACTCTTATTCTAATGAAGTGCAATATAATAAAATTAGACATAAGATGGAGACACTGACCTGAAGTCCTTTGATGGCGTTAAGACCTCTGTTTCATATGGCGAATGATAGTAGTCATCGCAACCAGTCAATGAAAGACGGGTTTTTCTTTTTCTAAATGCTGCTACACATGCTTGGGACAATCCTACTAGCAAGTTGTTTGTATCAGTTTTCACTTTGATATAAAGAGGAGAACCGATTAGGAACGTTGAGATAGACAAAACCATGAGTAAAACAGGGACGCCAAAGCCAATTTGCCAACCATAACGATCTTGAATATAAATAATTGTGGTAACTGCAATCATAGTTGCAACCCCATTGCTAGCATAGTACCAATTGAAATATCTCTCAATAATCTTCTCATTCTCAGGGTTCCCTTTTTGTTCCAATTGATCAGCACCAAACATTATAGAACAAGGTCTAACAAAACCAGCTCCAATAGACGTAAACGCAAATGATGTAGACAGAACAGCAAGTTGGAATGCTGTTGGTCCATTACAAACATGTTGAAAATGTGAACAGGCGAAAGTCGTGAGTTGCGGTATCATTGATGTGAGCCAAAGAATAACCATTCCCTGTATAAGGAGAATGTTAAGCCATAACAGATATGGTGGTTTTAAAAAAACATGTTATTCCATTGAAATGGCACACAGAACTCACAATAAAAGTGAAGATGGTTCCATAGGCAACAGCATTATATCGACCCCAATAACAATCGGCAATAATCGCCCCAACAATAGCTAATCCACCTGAAAGTGCACCCCATAATCCAATAATACTAGTACCCGTAGCAGCACTCATGCTATAATATGTCATCAAATAAATTATCAGATTTGTTTGTGAACCATAACTTGCTATCCTTTCAAATGATTCATTCACTGAAAACAACAAATAAAAATTGAAATTAGAATCAACACATTGCAAAACAATTTAAAGTAAAAGAGTAGAGTGAGAGTAGTACAAATGATGAATGGCATGGTCCTAAGACCACCCTTTCTTGTGTTCACTTCATCTTGTATTTCAGTGCCCATTTTCAGTTTCGTTCTCTGTTTCCTCTTCAGTTTTTTTTTTCTTTGCTTTGATATATGATTAAAAGAGACAAAGGGAAAGAGAAGAGAATTAAACACAAAATTTTGATAAATTGTTTGATAATATTGAATGAGATTGACACGTGACAGAGGTAGAGTGGGGGCATATTATACGATTATAATTTGGATAACTGTTAAATTATCAATAATTTTTATTTTTATTTTTATTTTCTAAGTTGAATTTAAAAATTTATTCATCATAACAGTGTGTCTGGTTCATATAACAGCGGACAACCAAAAAAAATGTAACGTGTTGAGAAACAACTCTTTTAATTAAATGTTTAAACAAACAATATTTAATCATTCTATCGCTAATCAATTATTCAAGTGGGACCACAACGTGCAGTAGTGTGCACTGTGCAACTTTAATAATAAATAAATAAATGAATGAACATGTATCATGTGGAAATTTTTATTTTTTTTTAAAAAAAAAACTCAGTTTTACTTTTACATTTGATTGCTTGTGTCACATTCCTTGATTCCTTCTCCTTTTTTTTAAAATTAAAGTTGCATCTTGAAACAAATATAACAATATTATATAAATAGTGAAGATGGAGACTCAGGAAAAAATTGGAGATATAGTTATTTAAATGATGAAGATGTACACGGTGTAATAGCTTGTTTTTTTTTAAAAAAAAAAAAAAAATTCGTTGTTATAGACACAAAAAATTT